GTGCCTTGAATAGCGTGAACACATGAGCGTTAAATACTGATTGAATGAATAAATAAAGGATTCTCTTGATATGTGGCATGTCATGAAAACAGCCTGTGAATGATCTCCGCCATATTACATCTCAATTTTAGTAACAGGAGGACACTGAGTTTGAGAAAAAAAGGTTTTACTGGATTGCTGGTGGATGTGAGCAGAACTGCCTCTGACTTCTGATCCTAGGCTGTTTCACCACAGCAAGTGTCTCAGTGATATCGTTAATCTAAGTACCATTGACTATTGTTTTAGAATGAAGGCTCTTTGTAATTGTTTGCTTTTACATTGATAGCTAGGTAAGTTATTTCAGAAGCAGGATGAACAGCAGAAGTATTTGCCTTGTAAGTTGAAATTTTTCCTGGAAGCCTGCGTAGAAGAATAAAAGAGTATCAAAAGGAGTCGAGAGTATATTAAAATTTGAATAAATACCTGGTCCTTTAAGACTGTTCAACGTTTTTTAGTTTGGATGTTATGAGAGTTTCTTTCTTAATGAGAAGTATATGAGGTTTATTAGCTCAGCAGCATAAAGTTGGGAATTTTTTTTTATTATAAAGTTCCTTATATTCACAAACTGTTGTTGCTTTTACTTATTTATTTACTCTTAATGCTGGATTGGGAATGAAAATAATTAGAAAAGTTTAGATTCCAGTAATTTTTTTGTTGGTGCTGGGATTTGAACTCCAGGCTTCACACTTGTGAGCAGGAGCTCTATCACTTAAGCCCCCTCTAGCCCAGTGCCAGTAATTTTAAATTTATCTTAGTTTAATCAGAGATAAAAATTTGTATTTGCTTTTAATCTACTGAAAAATGGTTTTGATGATAACACTAATAAGATTGTATTGGAAATAGATATATGTATGTGTTTTTTACTTATGATTCTGTTGTTAAGCATCATTAAATTAATAATGCCTATGGCAATTTCCATTTCAGTCTTTTGTTTTTCTTTGCCCATTGTGCCTATCTCTTGAGCAATAAATTTCCCACTTATTTTTTCTCCCCATCTGGACCATAAGTTCATTTAAGGATAAACCTAGTGTTATTCATCTTTGAACGCCTAAGTCTGTCATAGTACCTAGAATTTAATAAACTCTACATGATCAACAGGCAAATTTAAGCTATTCTTATCAGCACATACAGTTGGTAATTAAAAAAAAAAAAATGGTGTATCTTTTCAAAACAATTGCTTGTCTATCTTATTTCCAATTTGTCCCCAAAGCCTATTATAACACCTAGCAGGAAATGAGTACTCTAAAAGTTTGTTAAAGTTCTACTAACTTATGCTGACCTTTCTGTAGTGAAGGTGGTTCTAGAAGAGTTTTTACGTGAGAAATGTTGCACAATATCCCTAGATTGATTAGTCTCACTATCATTCCCTTTTAAAATTCCATTCTTTAAATATTGACAATGATATATATATATATATTTAAATATCTTATTATTTACTTACAGTAAAGAGTTTCATATGGAGGGAAAAACACACATTGCTCAGTCTTTACCATGGGAAAGTGCAAAGTGTAACTCAGTAGTTTTTGTAGTATGGCCTTAGGAAATTAGTGTGTGATTGGTGTGAATCTAGAATAATACTCCATTCTTATCCAAATCTTAACCCTGTTACTATGGCTATGATTTAACTTAATAGTTATGTGAAACTCCCTGCCATCTTACTTCCCAAGGTTACTTGTGAAGAGTAAACTTTGCAAGCCTGATTGTCACACTAAGGTTGTGGTTCAGGAAATAAGCCCATGTCCTTGGCCATGTCCTGTGTCCTCTCAGGCTCCAACAATACCTCTTTCCACAGATTATCTCAGTTAATCCTTACAGCAACTCTGAGATTAATGCTATTATTTCTCCCCTCCTTTTTTTTTTTTTTGGTGGACTGGGCTTTCAACTTACAGCTTCACACTTGCAAAGCAGGTGCTCTACCACATGAGCCACGCCTCCAGTCCATTTTTGTCTGGTTATTTTGGAAATGGAGTCTCATGAACTATTTGCTGGGGCTGGCCTCAAACCACAATGCTCCTGATCTCAGCCCCCAAGTAGCTAGGATTACAGGCATGCCCCACTGGTGCCTGGCAATTTTCTTCCATTTTTTTACATGTGAGGTGATGAGACTTAAGTAACACTCCTAATTTCATCAGTAAATGAGTGGAGAAATGCAGATTCAAGGCCAGTTTTGTTTGAGCTCCTGTCTTTAACCCGTGCTTTGCTTTCCTTTTCTAACTTCACCTTCTTCTTCCTCCTCCTCTTGCTCTTCCTCCTCCTCCTCCCTCCTTCTTCCTTCTTTTCTCCTCTCTCCCTCCCCAACTCTTTCTGCCCACCCCTTTGGCAATATTGGGGATTGAACTCAGGGCTTACAAGGCAAGTGATCATCACTTGAGTCACGTTCCCAGTCCTTTTGCTTTTATTTTGTTTGTCTGAGAAGGTCTCATGCTTTTGCCCAGGCTGATCTTGGTCTGTAAGTCTGTGATCCTCTTGTCTCTACCCCACACATAGCTGGGGATACAGGCATCATGCCCGATCTCTTTAACCAGAACTTTTCTTGATGATTAATTTAATTAAAGAAAACAACCCTTAAACACTGCTGATAAATCTGAAATAAAGTTCTTATCTAATAGTGTTTGGTGACTTCTAGTTTTATAATTTGATTTTGGGGAGATTTCATAGAGTCCAAAAGATTCACAAGCAAAGTGATATGTCTTACATCACACTATGTAATGGCAGAGCTAAAACCAGCACTCATTCATTCATCCTTAAGTTGTGATTCATCATACCTCTGTTCTGTTTGGCTACCGGCATTCAAGAAGTTGAATATATTTTTGCTGAGTAAATGAACGAATGAATGTGCTGAGGCTGACAAATGTGCTCAGCTGAAAAGTACATTTTTATCTTCAAGAAGTTGATAGTCTAACGAGGGAAACCTGTATAAATCCTACCATGACTAAGTGCCTGATTACACTAATGATCAAGAGATTTAGAAAGATACTCCAGGCTGAGCAGTAGTACAAACCTGGCTGAGAATGTCAAGGTGAATATGTCAGGGAAATGTAAGTTGTTGTTTGTGTTACTGGGTAAATTAGTGGTGGGTGGTCAAATGCCTTAGATGCCATGTGAGAGCATTTATATTTTTTTTTACCAGAATGAGAACTGGTAAAACAGAAATTATACTCAAGCCTTCATTTTAGTGAGATCTCTGGAGTGTTTGCATGGTGGGTTGACATTCTGACTGATTGATACTTGGAATATGATGCTTAAGAGGTACTGATCACTTAATCTGAGGTCACTGTGATAGAATTGGCAAAGAGGAGTTCAGAAGGCCATGGCTGGAGATAGGTTTTTTTTAAATCATTAGTTTATAGATAATAATTGATATCCTGAAAATGAGTGAACTCTCAGACAGGAGTTGAGAAAGTTGGGGTGAAGATTAATATTCAAAGGACAGGAAGAGGGAGAGTTTCCCACATGCAGTAATAAGAAGAAATGACCATAGAGTGTTCAATTTCTCATAAGCCAAGGAATAAATGTTTAAGAAGGAAAAATGTTCTGTGGTCCAAGACAACAAATACACACTAAGTTTTTGAGATTTCTGGATGCCAAAGTGGGTAGATATTGAAGGATAGCTGAAAGAGAACCTGGAAGTGAGGGATTTTGTTTTTGTTTTAAAAAGAGAGAAACCACAGCAAAGTCACAGGCTGATAAAATAAAAAGCTAGAAGTTGAAGACAGAAAGAACACAGGTCCACTAACTCTTTTCCTAATGCCTTCTATCCATCCTCAGCTACTCGTATCTCAAAGTGGTTTTATGCTTGAGTCTTTTGGGGATACATCAGAGTATAATGCCCCTTGTCTAATGTGCTTACGTATTCTCTCATTTCAGAAAATCTTTCCAAACTTTAATGAATTCTCACCAAATGAGATTGTCTTGATGAGAAACCAGTCATTGCAGTATACACATGAGCACACAATTTTTGCTAACTAAATAGTGATGTAAAGCACATCTAAACTCACCTCTGAAATCATGAGATTCTCTGTTAAGGCCTTTATCCAGTTCTGCCTCTATTAAAGTTACATGGGAACATACCTTACCCCCCCAGACTAAATCCAGACTCTCTAAGGGCAGGAGACAATCCTATATGTATCTCTTGGGCCTTTATAGTTCTTGGCATTTGAAGAAACATTGAATGAACATTTATTTGAATAAATGATAAGGACCATGACTTCAATAATTTTTGTCTTATTTTGATTTAATGGGTTTCTACATCTTATATTTTTTCAAGGATTTTTTTTGTTTTCTAGCTTCAAAAAAAATAAGCCATTGACTCTAGCCTAACCCTCATATTCTATTCCAATGTCTAAAAGCCTTTAAATCTCCTTGTCATATACCACTATTTTAACTCCAGGGTTTTTTTTTACTTCATTAAAATATTTTTAAATACCTGATGATCAGTTTTTATGAATTAAAGAGATAAGTAATTTCAAAAACCTCCCCAGATGATTCTTTCATGATATCTCTCATCTCCTGTTATTGACAGAGTAGAGATGGAAGGTGGCATATCATGTCATGTCAGTCCCTGCTACCCTTTACCATTCACATAGGATGTCATGATCGCATGAATGACTGATCTCTGCACATATTACCTTTTCTAACCTGCATTCTGGAGCCTTCAGGTGCCAACTATCATGTATCATTTCCTCACTGCCTATTGGGGTGCCTGACACTGAAAGTTTCCTGAATGAATGAAGTACAAACCTGAAATGGGTTCTTGACTGATCCTTGAGAGCTGTCAAGATTATGAACAGTCTTTTGCTCAATCAACTCAGGTAGTGGGAGTTGTGGGCAGAGGCTGATATGAAATTTAAGCTGTCTGAACTCTTATGTATATTTTTGGATTGTCAACCTCTTGAATGATATCAGCCCTGAAGTAGCTCAAGTACCCTTTCTAAGCCGGTGTTTCCCTTTCTCTTCTGCAGGTTGGACTCAGATCTGTGATAGAGCAGTTTCCCGGGAAGCTTGACTTTGTCCTTGTGGATGGGGGTTATGTACTGAGCCATGGCCACAAGCAGTTGATGTGCTTGGCCAGATCTGTTCTCAGTAAGGCAAAGATCTTACTGCTTGATGAGCCCAGTGCTCATCTGGATCCCATGTGAGTTTCAAGAACCCTGTTAGGTAATGGCAGAGAGAGTAGACTCTTTGAATTCTACTTCATATTGACATGAATTCCATTAGGCTGTCATGTCTTCAAGTAGAGGGAGAGTCCTCAGGTACTACGTAATTGCCCAGTGGAAAAGTCACTATTTGATATGAGCAAAAATACTTATTTCCTTGCTTAAGAGCCCTGTGTTCTCTTCTTAATGTACTTTAAAATTTCACACAAGCCCTTTCACATAATGAACTATTTAGTTATATGGGCACACTCTGATCCTTATATTCTTTTTATACCATAAATATACTTATAGCACACAATCAAGAACTGCTATTAATACTGCATAATGAAAAACATACTTATTCATGAAATTTTCTTTGAAATATTTGTCCTATTTATTTATGAAAACTTAGTGTCTACTTCATGGTTGGAAAGCTGATTATGGCTAACTCTTTATCAATGTTATGTTAAAAAGTATTTTAAGAAAGACATAAAGAACTAAATTGATAAAACATTAAGCATGTTGTCAAAAATAAGTGCAGACCATCTATTTTCTGTGATAATGTTATATGTGGAATTTTCTTTCTTTTTTAGAACATACCAAATAATTAGAAGAACTATAAAACAAGCATTCGCTGATTGCACAGTAATCCTCTGTGAACACAGGATAGAAGCAATGTTAGAATGTCAACGATTTTTGGTGAGTCTTTATACATTTACTTACAATTTCGTTTCCCTTATAATTCTTGATAACAATCTCCCACGTGATAATTACTGCAAATTGCAGCAATATACAGGTTCTTACTTGAAACATGTATCACAAACCACCCAGCTTTACTCAAAATAGCTGCACAGGGTTTTGCTTTGATTTGTGCTGTTAGAGGAGGTTGACAGTGCACTTTAAATAGCAGCACTAACAGAGACATTGTGAATTAGATATCTATGCTTTTTGAGGATTTATTTGGGGACCAAGTCACAAAAATACCCTGCTATTAAAAAATAAAAAGTCCTTCTGTTTCATTCAATAACTAACTCTCCCTGGTTGGGTACAGGTGAGGCTGGTTGTCTTACAATCCTATTTATGGTTTTAATGTGTAATTGAGAGGCTTATTTTATTACTGAGCTGCTGTTTGGGCTCAGGTTAGTCATCTGTCAGTCGTCTTCTCACTGTGCTATCGAAAGAGTCACAGGTTCCTTCAGGTGATATTTATGCATTCTCTCTCTCTGGTTTATTGCCAAGGAAGTTCTGAGGATAATACCCCATGCCATTTCGGTGTAGGTTTTTGACCATCCTGGAGATAAATGCTTTCCTTTGTGAAGGATTCTTATTACCATTTTTATTAACAAGCTCGAAGTGACAAATTAGGGAGCAGACTCATCACCTCTTGCCTTGCCACAGACAAGTTCCAGGGAGTTGTGTAAGGTCCTCTGCCCACTGGCCTTGGGTTGGCTCAACTTTAACACGCAATGCAGGCAATTAGACTCAGGCACATCTGGCCACTTTGGAATTGCTAAGCTGCAGATCCAGTGTTGGAGAAGTTCAAGGCTTGGTGGTGCTTTGGACTTACCTTGTTTTTGAGTTGTTCTCGAAGGACTTTCGGTTCTTCTAAAGTTCTTTGAAGAAGTGCACTTCCTAGTAGTATGCTAGGAAAAATTCCATTTGCTGCATAGAAAATTACAGCTAGACTGGTGGAGGGGCTCACGTGGTAGAGAACCTTCCTAGCAAGCGCAAGGCTCTGAGTTCCAACCCCAGTACTGCCAAGAAAATTACAGCTAATTTCATGGATAGTAGAATCTCTTAAAGCAAGAGGCTGTAACAACATATGAAGTATTGTGGAAAATGCAAAGTTCTGTATGCTGTTTTCTTTTGGCTCTTATTTTCCTTTGAGCCTATGCCAGTTTCTGTTCCTTCTCTGTCTGACCTGCTATCTGTCTGAGATCTAACTAGTGACCCCTTCCTTAGGTCATAGAAGAGAACAAAGTGCGACAGTACGATTCCATCCAGAAACTGCTGAATGAGAAGAGCCTCTTCCGACAGGCCATCAGCTCCTCTGACAGGGTAAAGCTCTTCCCACACCGCAACTCCAGCAAGCACAAGTCTCGATCCCAAATTGCTGCTCTGAAGGAGGAGACAGAAGAAGAGGTCCAAGACACCCGTCTCTAAAGAACAGAGCAAATGATTGCCTGGGACATCTGTTCACAGAATTGAAGGAGAGATTTGGTTGCCTGTGCCTTTAGAAAACAAGCATGAAAGATGCTTTAAAAAAAAAAAAAAAAGAAGGAAACATTTTGGTAAAAGGAATCAAGGACATTCTTATGGGTCTGGGTAACTGGCTTCCTGGCAATGGTCTAATTGTGTGAAAGGTACTTCAAATCCTTGAAGATTTACCACTTGGGTTTTGCAAGCTGGCTGTTCTTAAAAACACTTGCCATTTGGTAAGAGTGGAAAGGCAGCTGGGTCAACCAGTTTAGTTGTTCAGCTTATTGTTTAGTGAAACTGATTAATTTGTATTTTTGAAGAAATGAGATCATACCATTTAGAGATACGATTAAGTAATGATAACTGGAAACTTGAATGACTATTTTTTCTATCCCCTTTTCTCTCCTCTCCCTGAGATATTTAGACACACAATTATATTGTTTGCCAAGTATTCTGGCTGTCTTATTTCTAAGCAAATATTTGGATACGGTGGGGAGTTATCAGGCAGCTGATTAAAATATGCCCCTTTCAACCTCTAGTGATCGGTCAGGAAAGAACTTCCAGACTTTGGAAATCAAGGTCAGTACAGCCAGTTCTATCAAACATACAAAGATTCAGATAATCGAACTACATCCCTGACCTGGGAAACGGGCTGTTAACTGTGCCAAGTACTGGATGGGAGAGCTCCCTCAAGGCATACATTGACATGCCTTTTCTCCCCACAAAGCAACAAGCTCATAAGACCTCTGAACTGGAGAAGTCTAGAAAAGCTCCAGCTACAGGCTGCATAGGAAGAAGATAGGCCATGGACACCGTGGGCAGATGCGCAGGAAGTCTGAGCACTGTGATGTACAGGGCAATGGTAATGCATTTTCAGACTTTCACATTTTCTACACAGAGTGGGGGAGAGAATGGGAGACACCTGAAGATTCAATCATAGATTAGTTTTATATGCTTCTGTTTTATAATTTTGTAATACAAATGAAATTTTCTCTAGAAAATATTTATTTTAATACTATTTCCATTTAAGGATGATTATATCATGAATTATATTTGTATGAAAGAATTTTTATATTTGAAATGTTGACTTTTTGGCACTAGCTATTTTTATGATATATTGTGTTAAGATGGGAGCGGTAGGTTGACGTGGGCCAGGAGCCATGATTCACCGGTGTGATTTAGGAGAGACACTGGGGTGCAGGCGTTGCACTTCTGTGTGGTTCCCAGCCAGCACATGGCCTCTTTCCTCTTGGATGCAGTTGTGAAGAAGATGGCGCTAAAAGCCTGCCTACTCCTATCAAGGGCACTCCGACTTCCCAACTTCAAACTAACCCTTAAGGAGATTGCATTATATTTATTACTGTAAGAAAATATTATGTGTCAACAAAATAAAACCATGCTTCTGCCTTCTATGACTGTTATTTTGACAACTCTAAGTGCCTCATAAGAGCGTAATCATATGATTTTAGTCATTTTGTGCTTGCCTTATTTAATTTAGCATGAAATCATCAATGCTCAACCATGTTATCTCATTGGTCAGAGTTTTCTTCCCTTTTAAGACTGAGTAGTATTTCTTGAATGTGTATATCACATTTATTCATTCACTTGGAAATGGACACTTGGGCTGCTTCCACTCTTTGAATATGGTGCACAGTGCTTCCACGAGCGAGCATGAGTGTATAGCTACCCCTACAAGTTCCTGCTTTTGTGATATAGGACACTTTGAAGTTATTTTTGCTTAAAAAATGGAGGCTTGTAGAACACAAAAGATTTACAGAACTAGCAATACATCCCATACCCGTGTGTTACACTTTGCCGTCAATGAGTCTACATTGACATAACAATAGCACCTGAAGATAGTGATTTCCATTAGGGTTCGTTCTTGGTGGTGGGGGGGCTCTTTTTGAGTTTTAACAAATGTAAAATAAAATGCATAGCATTATGCAGAGTAGTTTCACTGCCCTAAAAATTCCAAGTCCTTGCTTTCATCCCTCCCTCCCTCCCTCCTGCAGAACTCCTGGAAACTGCTGTTCTTACTATATTTTAATAGCTTTGTCTTTCTAGAGTGTCATCAAGATGGAATCAAGCAGTATGTGACTGACTTTGTTCACTTAATAATATGCATTTAATATTCCTCCATATTGTTTCATGACTCCAAAGCTCATTTATTTTTGCTACTGAATAATATTCCATTGTTTGGATGTACCAGAGTTTATCCATTCATCTACTGAAAGACATCTTGGCTCACTCTTAATCATTCTGATGATTTGAATAAAGCTGAAAATGAGTGTGTAGGTTTTTGTGTAAATATAAGTTTCAGCTTCTTTGAGTAAATAAGGAGCATAATTACTAGATCATAAAGTAAAAATATGTAGCTTTGTAAGAAATTGAGTTGTTTTTGTTTTGCTTTTGCAGTATCAGGATTTGAACCCAGGGCCTCGTGCTTGCTAAACAAGTTCTGTACCACTTGAGCCACAAACTAGCCCTTTTTGCTTTAGTTGTTTGAAGATAGTGTCTTGTGTTATAGTCCCAGCCTGCCTGGATCGTGATCTTCTTATTTATGCTTCCTGTATAACTGGGATTGTGGATGTGTACTATCAGACTCAGCTTATTGGTTGAGATGGGGAGTCTTGCTAACTTTTTCCCCCAAGCATGCCCAGTCCTAAACTGTTTTTTAAAGTGGCTGTACCGTTTTGAATTCCCACTAATAATGAACAATTCTCTTTTAAAACTATCTTTTATTAGCATGCATTAATAGTATAAGAGGGTTTATTATAATTCCACAGATGTATACAGTGTTGCAGTGTACTTTGAACAAGTTCATCCTTTCTGTCTCTCTTCTATAATAGCATGTGGCCCTTGTAAGTGTTTTGGATTGGCCATTCTAACAGCTGTGCAGTGGTATGTCGTTGTTTTAGTTCACATTTCCCTAATCTTTTCATGTGCTTGTTTGGCAGCTGTTTGTCTTTTTTGGTGTAGTGTCTGCTAAGATCTTTGCCCCATGTTTTAATTGGATTATTTATTTTCTTATTGTTGAGGTTTAAGAGTTGTCTGTGGATTTTGGATAACAGTCTCCCTTTTTTTTTTTTTTTACAGTATTTTTATTGTGCTGGGTGGGGGTACACTGTAGTATTTGCAAAAGTTCTTACAATATATCAGATATATCGTACTTGAACTCACCTCCTGTGCAGCTCTCCTTCATCTCCCCTCCCCTGATTCCTGGAATAGTTTCAACAAGGTAGCATTTTTGCATTTACTTACATGTGTACACATTACTTGCACCATATTCATCCTCCTACCCCTTTCTCTGCCACATCTTCCCCCAACCAGTGTCACTACCCCTTCCCCCTGCAGAACCTGTTCCACTTTCCTGTTCTACAATTTTGTAGGAGAAAAAACATAAAAGATAAAAAGAGAAACATGACGTTTTACTAGTTTGAGATAAAGATAGCTACACAGAGAGTTTCCTTGTGTTGTTTCCCTGCAAATGTGTATTAAAACCCCCACTGGTTCATTTCTTCCAGTCCTCTTCTCTCCCTCCTAGTCCCCTTTCCATGGTGACCCCAGCTAGTTTAAGATTTCTGTATTCATTCCTGTACAGTGAGCACATCAACCTCATTCACGTTTTTGGTTTCCTTCCCTTGCCTTATCCCTCCCTTGCACAGCCTCTCCTTAGTGTGATCCTGTCCCATAATATTGCTGCATTTGCTGTAGGTCTATAATCCACACAAGAGGGAGAACATGCGGCTTTTGGCCTTCTAAGCCTGACTAACTTCACTTAAGATGATGTAAGACACCTAAAAAATTAGCTAGCATTTGTTGCCCTTAATGCAGAGAAACTAAAGCAGATACCTTAAAAGCAACTGAGGCCAATAGGAAAAGGGGACCAGGAACTAGAGAAAAGGTTAGATAAAAAAGAATTAACCTAGAAGGTAACACACACGCACAGGAAATTAATGTGAGTCAACTCCCTGTATAGCTATCCTTATCTCAACCAGGAACACTTGTTCCTTCCTATTATTGCTTATACTCTCTCTACAACAAAATTAGAGATAAGGGCAAAATAGTTTCTGCTGGGTATTGAGGGGGTGGGGGGGAGAGGGAGGGGGCAGGGTGGGTGGTAAGGGAGGGGGTGGGGGCAAGGGGGAGAAATGACCCAAGCCTTGTATGCACATATGAATAATAAAACAATAAAAAAAAAGATGATGTTCTCCAGTTCCATCCATTTACCTGCAAATGACAAAATTTCATTCTTCTTTGTGGCTGAGTAAAATTCCATTGTGTATAAATACCACATTTTCTTCATCCATTTGTCAGTAGTGGGGCATTTTGGCTGTTTCCATAACTTGGCTATTGTGAATAGTGCTGCAGTAAACATGGGTGTCTGGGTGCCTCTGGAGTAACCTGAGTCACATGCCTTTGGGTACATCCCCAGGAGTGGGATTGCTGGATCATATGGCAGATCTATTTTTAATTTTTTAAGGAGCCTCCATGTTGTTTTCCAAAGTGGTTGTACTAGCTTACATTTCACCAGCTGTGTATGAGGGTTCCTTTCTCTTTGCATCTGCATTAACATTTGTCATTGGTGGTGTTCTTGACGGTAGCTATTGTAACAGGAGTAAAGTGAAATCTTAATGTGGTTTTGATTTACATTTTCTTTATGGCCAGGGATGGTGAGCATTTTTTCATGTGATTTTTAGCCATTTGGATGTCTTCCTTTGAAAAAGTTCTGTTTAGTTCAGTTGCCCATTTCTTTACTGGGTCATTGAATTTTTGGGAGTTTAGGTTTTTGAGCTCCTGTATATTCTGGTTATCAGTCCCTTGTCAGATGTATAATTGGCAAAGATTTTCTCCCATTCTGTGGATAGCCTCTTCAATTTAGATACCATTTCTTTTGTTGTGCAGAAGTTATTAAATTTCATGTAGTACTATTTGTCAATCCTTTCTCTTAGTTGCTGAGTCAT